CATTACAAAAAATTAGTTGATTTGAAATCTTTCTCACGACTGTACCCACAGAGACGCTACATTGTAAATATGGACTGTATAATGTCCACCTCCGAGCCAAAGAATTTTTCTAGAAACAATTTTTCATATCTTTACTTTTTTGTGAAATGTCTAATTGTTTTGAAATAATTCAAATAAGATAAATATCGTACGTATTTACCTAGACGATGGACGAGGTGACGGTGGTGGCAAAGAGTGACTTTCATCGAAATCTCGCAATCGAGCAGCAAGTCCATCCAACGATGATGCCAGTGAGCCGCTTGGACTAGAGCCCCTGTGCAATATAATACCAAAAAATAGAATTGTTGTACTTATTAACACTAGAACTACCGTTCTAGACAAAATGACTGGTTTCAATTTTTTTGTTTCACAAATATTGACATCTTCAAAGCATTGAATATACGAAATAGTTTTGAAAATAAATAGTTTCACTTGAATATTATAATGAATGTCTAACAAAATCGAAAATAATCTGTTATTACAATTTTTATAGTAATTACATATCAACTGTATTAAATGCTGGGGAGTTCTAGTCTTAAATTTAAATTCATCAGCAAGTATTTAACTCACAATTAAAGGCGTAGAAGCTTTGTTAGACAATATAGAAAACTACAGTGCTAATGTACTCGATAAAATTCTGTACAAACCCTTTTTTTTTCTCTTTGTATTTTCGTCCACGATACCTGAGTATATTAGTTATATTCTAATAGTGTGTAATTTTAACGAAAGACTATTTCGTTTTATATTGACAAATCTTTAAAAAGTTCAGATTTTCTGCAAGGGTACAGAATTATCTAAAAAATTTTAACAATAAATAGATTGAACAAAAACAAAATTGTCCATTTATAAGGTTTGATCAAGTAAATTAAATTCTTTTTTAAATTACAAATGTTTTTATCGTTCTTCTTTTACATTGCACAATTTAAACACATGTTACACATATTGTGCAACTATATACTATTTTTCACTTTTTATTTTTGAGGCATCTATTACAGATCTTTCTTGTACCAAACTTATCAGTTAGTTTAGCAGTAAAATTTTTGCGGACTGTACAGACCTTACTAAGAAACATGTAATCTGATGTTGATCTGTACGAAGCATTTGAATTTTTCAGATTTTGGCAATGGTGTAACTAGGGTGTAAAAGTACGTTTGGTGTCTCACAGATAATTTTTCAAAAAATTATGAATAATGAATAATGATTATAACGTAGTCACATAACTTCATAGCAACTAAAGTGCACATTATTACAGAATTGGCACAAATAAGTGATTCTGCATCCGATAATAAATAATGTTAATATTACTTCGCCTGTGCATTCATTATATCATTATCTCTAGCGCAGTCACATATGTAGTAAACCCGAGTTTTCAGTGACAATTTGCTATTACAATAATGCTCGTTTGAATTCCTCAATTTTGGGCCCCAGCAGTGGAATTTAAACGAGCAGAAAAAACAAGAGGAAGCTACATGCTTCGAAAAATTGATTCGAGCACAGTCTGACAAAGTCAGAGAATCGATATAGTGTGCAGAAGCGAGATAGACACAGTTCGTCAAGCATCGAGGGTCGAGACGCGGAACTTCAAAGCGATGTCGCCCGCGTCAGATATCAACATGCAATGAAACAAAATTTCAATGGCAGTAATTTTAACCTTACCTTCTCAAATGTAGTGCCAGTGAATTTCTGAGATTGTTGTGATTAAAATCAGTCCAAACACGATGGGAATCGAACTAATTTGACCGACTTAATGTAATTAACGAAATTTAAGACTGATTTCTCCTAAAATTGATAAAACTAGGTTGATTTTCGTCGTATTTGGATTCATTTTAACGAGAAGAATCTCAACATTCCATCGGTACTACGTTTGAGAAGGTTAAGTTAAAGATACTGCAATTGACATTTTTTTCATTGCGTGTTTATATTTGACACGTGCAGCATGTATTAGACCTGTGCCTGTCTTTCTTCCTGTCATTGTATTTATGTTCTGTTCTTGTTTACTGGGATCACGTTTCACTGAGCTCGAGATAGTTTGTAGTAGGTGAAGAGTATGGATGGTGCAGTGGAATTAAACCGAGCAGATTCTGTGGAATTTTAGCGAGCATCACTGTATAAACTTACCTTACAGGTGAATTAGGACTTTCCAGTCGGTTCGGTTTAATAGCAGAATTGACTACGTTATCGACAGTGACACGTTTCGCACATTGAACGGAGCCCTCTATCACGTCAGGTGTCTTCTCCAACGATTCGCTGTTTTTATCTTCAGCCATTTCGGTATTAGTAACTCCTATTGCCTCTTCAACGTGCTCTGGTAATTTTGGTGGCGCGGCTACATGCTCGTTCACTGGAAATATGTCGCTAGAATCCAAACTCCTGGATTTACCACAGTTACGAAGCCTCGGCGACTTAGAGGTCTGCTGCACTATTTCGGGTTGAGCTTTATTTTTTTTTCTTCTCTTGGTTTTCCTCGACACCAAAACCAGTCGTTTGTTGGGCGCCTCCTTTCTGAGCATCTTTAAAGCAACGTCACAGGGAACTAACTGGGCGTCAACCATGTCCAAATAACCAACACTGCAACTTCTGACTATCGAATCGTTCACGCAAAGGGGACCGATACTGACAACCGTCGGAGTTCTATGAACACCTCGAGACTGTTCCAATGCCACTGCTTCACCGCGAGTTTCATCATCGATGAAACGCATTTCCTCTGCTCTGCTAGTCGAACTACAAGTGGCCAAATAGTTGGCGTTTGCTTTCCCGCACGACTCATGAGATTTGAAGTCTTTGAACTTCGAGGTACAATGCGTACAAGGCTGTCCTACGCACTGTTCGATGTTTTCTGGAAATTGATAAGAACACGCTGGGGAATGGTTACTAGTCAAATGTATACCATTTTTACTGAAAGGGCCGTTTAAAGCTGCCGAACCGCTGCCGGAGTTATGACTATTTTTTCTATCCTGAACACCATTAAGGAAGATCGCCTGAGATTGGGAACAACTATTATTATTATCCAAACCATTTACGATGGAACCTTGGGAACAGCCACGACTGCTCGATGCTTCTGTACCCGAAGTCTGACCATTATGTATGGACATAGGAATAATTGTCGTTGAACAGGGAGATAGCACAGTTTTATCGTCCTGAGATATCTGATTGAACTTGTTATTCTCGAGTTCTTTCTTCGTGACCATACCAGCCTGCTGATCGGCCAAAACAGTTTTCATTCTTTGAATGTTGTTCGCGTAATCGGTCCCTGTGTTCGAGGTCGCGATTATCGTTTGCGTAGGGGCGACTGCATTCTTAGGAGATTGAAGGGCCGGAACGTCGCAACATCTGGGCGGATTGTGTCTCGGTGGCGTTCGGTAAGTGTTTGCAGGGGCAGTTCTCAAATTGTCATACAGATTCCCCATTTCCTGTAAATCCACATAGGGCAACTCGTTCTCATAATTTTCAACCCTCGACAGTGTAGTGGGTAACGCTTCGCTGGCCAAGAATTGATTCGAAATTTGAGATTTAGGACGATTTGAGCTCAACCGAGCGTTACGAGGTGTCATTGGTGCGATAGGCGGAGGCTGTGCGTCAGGGGTGCTCCTCGAAGCACTTTGGAGTTCTTGAAACGTTTCCTCTTCGTCTTCGGAGAACAAATTAGGATTGAAAGTAGGATCTGGACCTATAAAGAAATAGTGTTAGTTGACGATGAACTAGAGTTTTCTTTGTTTGCTTGGGAGACATACCTGCCGGCACATCGTCACGCAATTCTGTCATCACCAGGGTCATTTGCCGTGGTTGCAAATGCAGCAACGACGTTCGATACGTAACTTGACCCAAGTTGGCGGGCACCGAGTCCGCTAACCCGTGAAACTTGAATTTCGTGCCCCAGATATTCGACGTTACTTCGACGAGCCTCGCGTGCTACGAACAGATACGTCTTGTGACGCTGACGGTCACGCGACTAGCTTTGCAATACTCTAAGACCGAACGAGCTCGTTAAACTTTGGTACATCACGCAATTTCTTACATTGCACGGTGGGTAATTTTGCCATTTTAGCCGACCAATAGTCAATTTCAAAACTTTCGCCTAAATTAAACAATTTTTTCTCAAAGACAGTAGCATGTATAAGGAATAAGATACCAAACGTTATTTTTTCATTCGTACACTTATAAGCTACTGTGCTTCCTTGAAAGTTCGGAGTTTTCGTTACGCACGATTTGCACTCCTAATTCTTCAAAATATTTTTGTTTCAAAAGAATTGTGTACATTTTTTATCAGGGTGGAAGCTTTACAGGTAAGTTTATACTATACTTTAAATGAAACATGATCGTTTTATTATCGATCTTTATTTAATTGTTTATATTTAAGCATTATTTATAATCAATGACAGTACTTATAAGTACAATACTTCATGAATGATGTTGATATGCTTCAGAGTGAGATCCGGCCTTCTTTCAAGCACATATTTAGCATAGATTTATCTTTATTATAGGAAAAAATCTTGTTCCAATTTACCCTCTTTTTTGCACCCGGTACAGACCGGGTTCTCTTATAATGGATATTTATTGACCTATTATATACTATGTAATTTATTGTTATTGGTTAATTATTGTTAGTAACAACGTATTATTATTTATTATATTATTGTTATTGTTATTTCACTCTATGTAAATATACAATTTTGTATATAAATATATATGATTACAAATATTGATCATTTATCCATTTATTATATACTATATAATTTATTATTATTATATATAATTACATCGTGCTATCACATTTTGTTGAAAACATTCGCTACACACTCTTCGCAATTGTAATACTTCATAAATTTTTCATAGACTTTCTTATACTTTTCGATAAATCCCGGAATATTTTTATCCATTATCGTATTTGGCAAATGTTTGTGTTTATTATATATGAAGAAGTTTTTCCTCATATTTATTTTTCTTTTTTTAGAAGTGTTTCTTCTATTTCATGATACGAATAGTTTGAATACTTAGCTGCGGCCGGATAATTATATAATTAATATTTATTAGGCTATCATACAATATGTAATTGATTGTTATTATATGTTAGTACCTATTGTATTATTATTATTTATTAAATGGTATATAATATAACATATTTTATATAAGTATACAATTTTTTATATGTATATATATATTAATATTTAATATTTATTTATTTGTTAGATACTTTATAATTGAGTATCATCATGTATTATTATTATTATTATTATTATTATTATTATTATTATTATTATTATTATTATACACACACACACACATATATATATATATATATATATAAGGCAAGATTTTAATCTTGGTCGGTTAAAGCGGCAAAATTTCCCACCGTGCATCGTTCCGAGTCCGGTTTCCTTTCGTAATACGATTCATTTCTCAAAATAAGTCACAGGCTACAAAACTTGAATGGAATGTTTACCTCAGGCAAAGTGTCCACGTAAGTGAGATCATCGTTCTCCTCGCTCGGTTTTTCTTCTCTTTTTCTCCTACTTTTCCTTTTGTTTCTAGGCGATCCGCATAAGTCGGCTGTGTCCCTTTCCGTATCGGATCCATCACTGAACGACGGACATTGTGATGTATCTTCTACAACTTGTAAAGTATCCTGACTCTGCGGATCGAATATAACGAACTCTGGCCTGATTTTGCTAGTTCTCCTACCCTTTAGGAGGGGCACCAGCCCTCCCAGATACTCTAAATATAGTGTATAACATGGAACTGGTTCCACTGCGTGTCTGAGCATAGTGCAGTGCAACCTTCCTCCTCCTGGAGGTGGACGCGATATGAAACGTCTTAGCTCCCTTGGTTCTGGCACAGAACATCTGAAAGCAGATTATGCAATTTCAATTAGATCGATATGAACTGGTTACTACAGTTACTTTATCTGGAATAAATCACTATGAAATCAATGTAGCAGTTTTGTACTGTGATTATGATTCGATTTTAGTAGGTATTTCTATTACTGCACCATACGTTTTAGTTTCAATACAGCATATTTAACGAACAAATTACTAAATGGAAATTGTAGTAGTAAGAATGATATTTTTAAGTTTATTTTGAATATTATTTATTTTATGTTCCTTAACACTAGGACTACTGTTCCAGTCAAAATAACAGGTTTCGGTTCTTTTTGTTTCGCAATTATTGATATCTTCAAAGCATTGAATATTCGCAATGGTCTTGAAAATAAATAGTTTTATTTAAATACTATAATGAATGTCCGAAGAAACTATCTATTGTTACAGTTTTTACAGGGATTACATATCATTCGTATTAAATGCTCGGTAGTTCTAGTATTAATAACAGAAACTTTCAGGATTTATATTATAAATATATTATTATTACACAGTAGTTGGAAGTATAGGTGATATTAAATAATTATTATTATGTGGGGATTTTAGTAATTTAGGCAAATAACGATAAGAATATTTGGATGAAATTAAATGGATTTATCAGTTACACTAAATTAAATGATAGTTATTATTATAAAATATTGTCCTGTAATTGCACTTTATTAATCACTCGATAACTCTTTTTCAGTCTTATGTAATGTTAAAAAAACACAGAAATGAATGAATGAGTTGTAGAATAACATGCATTACTATCCAGAACAGTGCCTGACATATACTTTATATTGTAGTAGCTAATATATAATTCTAAAGGCACCAAGTACAAATTTGAAATTCATATTGTTTTATTATCTTAAATTTTAAAAAATTTAGTCAAAAAAATAAGATTATTAATGTTAAAAATTAATTATGAGTTAATTATAAATGTTTATAACATTATGTTTGTGACATTGTAATGTTTATAAGATGATAAACAATTATATATGTTTACAATTTTGAAAGCAAACAGAACGTCTGCCGCGCATTAATTTGTTTTAGACATTTGTTAGTTAATAGTATTCTAATGATAAAAACCGTGGAAGATTCTATCAAGACATTGGTATAATGAAAAAACGTTATTTAAATAAAGGTAGTAGGTACTACTATGTTTATAAACTATTTTTGTAACTTAATATCAAATATAAACACATTTCACGAATGTTTGTAAAATGGAAAATAAGTAATTATCAAATAGTAAATATAGTACAGAAGTGAACTAATACAGCTGTACGCATGAGACATTTGTGTTTTACGAACACTGAGAAAAATGTCTAGCAATCATGAGTGTTGAGAATCACTGGTAGAATTTGTTTCGAAGAAGCACTTTATTCTTTTAATTAAAAATAAAATCTACATTAAAATATTCTTTCAAAAATTTCAAAAAGCGACAAAATTTCGCTTTATAGCGCAGTAATAAATACTAGATTTACTATACCTACTATACTTACTATACACAGATTTTATATCAAAACCTAAATGTTGAAAACAAACTGAAAATTAAACCAAAAGAATTTAACTATGATGGGTATTTCACTCTTTCCCGAAATTTATTACTTAATTTTATTTAGAAATCTCTATAACATTATTTTTTGCTCTCTCTATAAGATTCTATAATTCTACAATCTATAAATTCTATTTTATGAATTCTATAAATTTCATAAATTCTATAAATTCTATAAGTTCTATAAATTCTATGAATTCTATAAATTCTATTCTATAATCTCTATAAGATTAATTTTTAAATTTGCAATTTTGTTCACAATACTTAAAAGCTCAAGTTAATACATGAAAGCGAGGTTTAGATTTGTATCCGATGCATAAAAATACGTATAGGAAGTATAGGAAGTTACAGAATGTATAGCATTATTAAAACGAATATAATTTATGTATAAGTAAGTTAAAATCTTTGTGTATAGCTGCATTTTTATATTTACATATCAGAAGTGCATTTAATTCTCTCAGAGAATTAATTTTATTTCCTATATTGCATTGATGTTAAAACAACTTTAGTAGAACGGTATCGAATAATTGTCAATGTTAAAATGACATACCACTTAAAACAAATTAATACGAAAGTGTATCATGAATTTAAGAATTTTACTTATCACTGTACCTCACATAGATATTACTTTTAGAATTATGAACACATTTCTGTATGAATAATTTTAAAGAAATTAGCGAGTAATTTTGGTTGAACATAATATAAGGTAATTGTATTCACTGAAACTGATTAGGAAAGGTGCTGAATCAAGAAATTCAAAAAATTATGAAACTTTGTGTCTAATTAGAGTAAGTCAAGCCTAATACAGTACAATTTTTTTCGTGCCGAATTTCACTTTAAAAGGATGGAACCACCCCTTGAAAAAAATGCAAATTTTTCTTTTCCGTGAATTATCTTGAGAACGGTAAGAGATAACGAAAAAAAGTTTCAACAAAAAATACAGTGTTCTTTCACGTCTAGAAAACTGCAAAATAAAATTTTTCAAAAAGTTAATTTCTTTTTAAATTAGTACTTTTTGAAAAATTGAAAGGATTTCACCTCTTGAAAGTGAAATTCACCATGAAATAAACATTGCAATGTATTAAGCTTGACTTACTCTATTTACACTCAAAGTTTCATAATTTTTTAAATTTTCCTACACTTTATAATACTTCTAGGCCGGTATAGTACAAAGTAAACACTTAAAAGTATAAGTAAATTCCAATAAAATAAAATTTAACACTGTTTACCTTATTGTACTAGCGAAAAGAGCTGCCACGGATGCTCTTAATCTTGGTGGCAATGGAAGCTGTTGAACACAGGATTCCCTTGTTAAAGCTGCTCTCACAGCTAAACGGGATAACAACTGCAACGAACCAACTCGCCTATGGAATAAACGTATGAAATTTCAGAAAAATTTACACGAAAATGGCTAATAAAAATAAATACGATGCAGTACGAGTATACCTTGACACCCAGGCTGCGTGAACACGTGCTCCTGTCGCCACGAAAAGTCTTCTATCGTTGTGCCCCCACGTGAGCGCCGATACTGGACACTAGTATTGATAACAGAAAATTAATACCTGCCACAACTATAATATCCGGGAAGATGAGCGTTCATCCAAAAATAATACATACTTGCGTGTATGGTATCACCGTGGTGTATACGAGAGTACCAGTGACTGAATAAAATTTTAAAAGATTCGTGTATTCGTGGGGGTTACTTTGAGAGCTATCAGAATCCTTCGTTCCGGCGATCGCTAACAATTTCCTGGAATTACTCCATTCCGCATGTAATGGCGCTTTTAGATTCGTCCGTATCGTGATGGGCGATACGTCGTCAAAAGACCGCAGCATTACAATATTGCCATCGGCGAGACACACTGCTAGGACGTAATTTCGGTCATCTGAAAAAGAGAATTTCCTGTTTTTTAACTGAGAACTGTGACAATGAAATGCAACAAATCACGATCTTCATGTCGTAATTAATATTGCAGTACAGAAAGATACTCACAAGGAAAAGTATTAAACCTGAAAATTAAAAAAATCATGAAACCTTGTGTGTAATTAGAGTAAGTCAAGCCGAATACAATGCAATTTTTGTTTCGTACTGAATTCCACTTTGAAGAGGTGAAACCCTTTCAATTTTTTAAAAAGTATAAATGTACAAAAAATAAACTTTTTGAAAAATTTTATTTTACAATTTTATAGATATGACAGAACGATGTATTTTTTGTTTAAACTTTATTCTCCTATCTTTTACCATTTTCAAGATAATCCACGGAAAAAGTATTTCCATTTTTTTCAAGGGGTGCTTCCATCCCTTCAAAGTGAAATTCGGCACGAAAAGAATTGCACTATATTAGGCTTGATTTATTCTACTTACACAGAAAGTTTCATAATTTTTTGAATTTCTGGGTTCGATACCTTTCCTTGTTGTTAATGTGTAAGATGTTTGAAGGAGATATTTTTACTATTGAAAAATGATTTATATTTTTCGAAACAGTAATGTCAAATTAGTAATACATTATACGATGAACGTTGAGTAATTGCAACATTAGAAACCTCTTCATAATTGCAACGTCGTCATCTCCGCCATATTCCTACCAGATTTCTCTTCTCGTGTTAGGTACACTATCGATCAAAAGTTTGGGAGCAATACATCGGTTAAAAGAAAAACTTCCACTTTCGGTGAACAACTGTTATTAGAGAATTATAATGTATGATAAAGAATCATGGAAATATGTGTATTTTTTAACATGAAGTTATGTAATTTTTGTTATTTTATTTTATATATTTATAAGACATGTAATTTTTAACTTGTGACGTTACATATCAAATGGTTCCAAACTTTTGACTGGCAGTGTAAGTATTCCAGCGCGCTCCTTTTTAATTTATTCCCAAACTGACCAGAGTCTGTCCCTTCGAAGTTAGGCATTTTGACTGTTAACCTTTCCCTCTGTTGCTACTTCGCAACCTTTACATCCATAGATTAAATTTATATACCCGGAAAATTCCTTGTTTCATTTATTGTCGCATTGCATCTGTTTTGGGGATGACCACACACCAAATTTATGTGTCCAGCAAATACAGTGACCGTTTAAATTCCATAGAAATATGCTTGCTTAATTCCACTGCACCAACCCCACTCTTCCCTCACTATTCACTGTCTCCAGCTCAGTGTAACGTGGTCTTAGTAGACAAGGATAGAAAATGAATACAACGAGGGGAAGAGAGACAGACACAAGTCAAAAAGATGCCGCACACGTCAAGCATAAACATGCCATGAAGAAAATTCCAATTGCAATAATTTTAACCTTACCTTTTTAATTATAGTACTGATGGAATGTTGAAATTTTTCTGATTAAAATGAGTCCAGATACAACGTAAATCGATTTAATTTTATCGATTCGGGGGAAATCAATTTTTAATTTTATTAATTACATTACGTCGGTAAAAGTAGTTCGATTCTCATCGTGTTTGAGCTCATTTTAATCACAACAATCTCAGAAATTCACTGGCATTACATTTGAGAAGCTAAGGTTAAAATTACTGCCATTGAAATTTTCTTTATTGCATGTTTATATCTGACGCGGGCGACATCGCTTTGAAGTCCAGTCTCTCGACCCTCAATGTTCGATGGACTGTGCCTATCCCGCTTCCGCTCATTATATTGATTCTCTGGCTTTGTCAGGCTGTGCTCGAGTCACTTCCTAGAAACAAATAGTTTCCTTCTGTTTTTTCTGCTCGGTTAAAATCCACCGTTGGGACCTGAAATTGTGGAATTTAAGCGAGTGTTATTGCTCCTCTCTTTTCCAAAATTCATAGAACTGCAGTGATGGGGGTCCGAGATAACGGACTAAAGAACCCAAAGAGGTGAGTCCTAGAACAACAGTCCCGTCCATCCTATAGATTACTACAGTCAGTTTCTCCAAATCTTCTTTCGCCATTTCTTTAACCCTTTTGTCCCGAATGGTACACATAGGTATCACAAACATTTTAAATTACCGGAAAGTCAGAAAACGCCTTAAAGATAAATGAAAATTGTACCACACGGGGATCTTTGCTTATACCTGACAGCTTAAGTGCTAATCAGCTGTCAGTAGATGCGTTTTAGTTGATTAGTCTGCAGCCACAGTTTTCTTTTTCACAAAATTCGTCAGTTATTCTAGTGGTCCTGTCTAGTTTGTAAAATATTCAGGGACGAAGTGGTTAAGTTTGGATCTCTTAAATACTGAGGGAAGAGCCGCAATGTCAGTCAGTCTTTTAGAGCGAGTAACACCTACTTATACGACTCTCCGTCTATTTACATACTAAATTTCGATTAATAAAGCAAAGTGAAATCACTTCTTCAACCCTCGAGGACTAACTGCAGTTGCATAGTATAACATGGTCCGACTATTATCGAACTCGACGATTTCAACGTCTTTTTCTTTTCAGTTCGCAATCTTTTTCTATATCCGAGGCTTTTGTTGCTTATTGTACACGGTGGAAAGAAATGACTGTCCTTTATTGTCGTAGCATGATTCTACATTTTCGGTTTGATGAAGACTGAGTTAAAAAAGCTGCCGAAAAATTCTCATTGTTCTTGAAAAAAAGCGTTAAAATTTCTTACCGCTGCATCGTATTCTACTCGTCGCACATGTAAATAGTTTGAATGATTTGTTTCCTTGCAAATTACTATTGAGGTTTACGAGTGAATGTAAAGGAATGCGACATTCAGTGTCTTTTTCTGTTACACGATGGGTCATCGAACTTAAGACCATAGGACTTCATTCTGTAGGGAAATGTGAACAAGTTTGTTTATCTTTCGAGTCATCCATTCATTTCTGCGAATAAATTGCGTCAGATTTTGTTATTGTGTACCACAGCAGAAAGCTGTCATTGTACTCGTTACACGGACTAATCGATATTTGTGTACCAACAAGGACACTGGATATCGTGGTCCTTCTTCCATGCGAACTTCAACAACAATTTGCAAGCAAACGAATCATTTCCGACTTATGATTTCTTTCAAACTATTCACTTCCGTGACGAGTAGAATACAATGCAGCTATAAACAATTTTAATCCCCTGTTTTTAGAGTGTATTTTGCAGTGACTCCCTTATATCCTTTTCTATAAAATAAAAAGTGCAGAATCAGGCTGTAGTAGTCGTAACATATCATTTAGAAACAGTCTGTACGTAGTGTAAATTAATTAGTACATAAGAACCAAACGCCCAATGTCGGTGTCGTAGAAATATATATTGCATAAGAAATAAAGATATTTATTTACAACACTGATCTCTCACTGCTTTAGATGACCTTGAAGTATGTTGTCAAGGACATTATTCTGAATAACTTTTCTCTATATATGTTACCGTCGCTCGGCCTTAGATTTCCAAATATTCGCAAAACCATCTCTAAGAATGGAGAGTTTTTGTATTTATTTTCAAGAACAATAGCCCTAATATGACCTTGAGCTTGACGTATATTGTTAAGGTCATTGTTTTGTACACCTAGAACTTTAAACTTTTTGACAGTGAGTGCTGGTTAAAAAGTTATGAAGTATTACAGTTTCGCATTGCGCTAGAAATTTTTGTCTCCATTTTCATTTATTGAAGTTGTGTTCCTTATAATATGTGTTCTCGAACTTCGTTTAGATAATAGAAGTTGGTACTAATGGGGTTGCTTTCTTTTGAGGGGGGAGGACCTGGACCCTTACCACGGAAAAATTAGCCCCACTAGTACCAATTTCTATTATCTAAATAAAGTTCGAGTACACATATTATAAACAACACAACTTGAATAAATGATAATGAAGACAAAAATTTCTAGCGCAATGCGAAACTGTAATGCTTCATAACTTTTTAACCAGCACTCACTGTCAAAAAGTTTAAAGTTCTAGGTGTACAAAACAATGACCTTAACAATATACGTCAAGATAGATAAGTTCCACAGTGTGATTTTCGGAAACTGTATCCCCTTTATATTAGTCTGCTCTCGTAAATCCATTTATATAATAAATCGTTCTTCCTTATAAAACTTTTGTTTTCTGCAGTGCAATTTGTTTCTGTATGCGAATCGTATGAACCGTTTCGAAACTGTTCAGGCTACGCCGTTTCAGTCTTTTTACTCGCGCTGTGTTATGGGCGCCAGCGAAAGATTTGCATTCCTAATCGATTTTAGCCCTTCAGCTGCTATACGCTATGGGATCTTTTGGGACGAAACACTACTATAGTGGTTTTTCCCTAAACGATTTTTAAGATAGAAAAGCTACAACAATAGCTTCTTTTTTATATTTATAAAAATACATTTGTATACTATGAAACAAAATATTTCAGGGCATACTTGGTCTTGTAACATAAGAATTTATTATGACTGTGAAATTTTGTGCGTATCCTTTAAATTCTTGATTTATAAAGAAAGGTATCAGGCTTGGAAATTTAAGAAGTTATGAAACTTAGTATGTAAATAGAGTAAATCAACCCTAATACATTGCAATTTTTTTCGTGCCTAATTTCATTTTGAAACGGTGAAATCACCTGTCAAAGTTAAAGATTGAAAATGTATTTTTTACAATATCTCTGAAACTACGGAGTGTATGAAAGAAATCTGAATTATTCTTTTCGAGGCGAACAATTTGAAAAGAAAATTTTTCGTCTACAGCCTCTAGTTTCAGAGGTATTATAAAAAATATATTCTTAACCCTGAACTTTGAGGGGTACCTTCATCTCTTGAAAGTGGATGTTTGTCGATAAGAAAAAATACGTGTCAAATATTTTGTTGAAAACCGTTTTGCATAAGTGTCATCAAAATCGACGTGTGCTGGTTGAAAATGTTCCCTTGTAAGTGCGCTATGGATTTCTGGATATTACTCAAGAGACGTCTTGCCGTTAACTCCCCTAAAAATGTTTAAGAAGAAAT